TAATAACACCGGGAAGAACTATCTTGCACTACTGAATTGCAGTCCCTGTAAAATAGTACACTTTCAGAACATGAATCTTATCAGCTACAGTTCTGGGAACCAGTTCACAGGCTACAGTCTCAAAAAGCTCAGTAAGGACCTAGGTTGGGAAACGTCTGGCGCATTTCTTGGGCCATCCCTGTTGTCTCATGAAGTTTGCTATCATGGTGTTCTCTTTAGGAAAAGATCATGTCAGGTCCCTGTAGCCCCTGTAGAAGGTAACGACCCTTTGCACAGGCTCATGCTTGAACACGTGGCCTCAACTGGTGCTGCTGTTTGCAAAGGTCATAGAACCTTCAGGAGGTGGCACTTTAGCTGGAGAAAACACGGTAGTGGGGAGGGGAAGCCGGGAGGGGCAGTGGGGAGAGAAATCGGGGAGCAGGCTTTGAGGTTTTGTAGCCGGACCTCAGTTCCTGCATTCTCTCTGCTTACTGAAGGTGGTAGGCAGGTATTCTGCCCCTGGCTGCTTACCATAATGAACTGTATTCCCTTGTAACCGAAAGCCACAATGAATCCACTCCACCTTAAGTTGCCTTGATGAGCTATTTTATTGCTACAGAGTATAGAGTAACTGAGCAATACTGAAACCACTGTATTTTCCCCGGAGGTTGTAGACACTGCCACCAGCAAGCCCGTGCTCGGTGTTGTGTCTAGGGTCTGGGTGCAACTTCTTGGTACAGAGTGCTATCTATCTACACTGTGCACAGGCTACAGGGCTGAACTGCCTTATACGCCTGCAGCCATGTTACAGCCACCTATCAAGTACCAGTAGCCTTGGAGTGTGCATTGTTGTATTTCACACCTTGAGGGGTCAGACAGACCTTGTACTGCAACAGCGATTCTCAGCCTTCCCAACACTGCGGCCCTTTAGTACAATTCATGTTGTGGTGACCCCCAGCCATAACATTACTTCTATTGCTACTTCATGGCTGTGATGTTTCTATTATGATGGTAAAGTAATCATGTGAAGTTCAGGATATCTGATAGGCAACTCGCAAAGGGGTTGTGACCCACAGTTTGAGATTTGGTGAAAGGTTAATGTTCACAAGTGAGCCCCGAGGGACAGGAATTCCATCTGTCCTTCCTCTACCCCAACTTGCCCTGAATGCCTCTCACTCTGATATGAGATATGCATAGCTTTGGAACTCACTGCTAGCCCTGTTCTGGTTAAACATTAGCAGATCCCTGTGTTAAAGCGGGCTGTTGAGGGGCTGGAGCCCATGATGGCTCAGAGGTTAAGAGCACACAGTGAACCTCGTGGTGATTCACAACCATCTATAATGAAATTTGGTGCCCTCTTCTGGAGTGTAGGTGTACATACAACCACAACATTGTATACATAATATATATATACATTGTATATACTTAAAAAAAAAAAAAAAGCAGACTGTTGAAAACAGTAGCCACGCCTTAGGCTGGCCTGCAGGGAGCTTCTGGTATTGGCAGCACTGTTTCTGTTTGAAACTTAATCTGCATGTCTTCAAACCAATGACAATGTCCAGGTACAGAGCAGCAATAAGGACCCAAGAGTAGAAGGGCCACCCAAAAAATTGTAAAACTGCGAACTTGGCCAATGAAAAACATTCATTAGAAGAAATTTTGTCTCATTTAAAATACTTTCAATTTTTCCATGTTAAATTCCAGTTCTGAGGCCCTTTTGCCATACACAACATATGTCACATTTCTTTTTCCCCATCTCAGATAGCATTTTTATACATAGCCCAGGCTGGCTTTGAACTCATGAGCCCTCTGCCTCAGCCCACCCAGTGCTGAGAACATATGAGTGTGCCTCCATGCCCAGTTCCATCAATATTTTTATAGTGAAAAATATCTCGTCATTCTAAGATAAAATTCTTGAGCTATCATTAACAATCCTTTCTTCTTGTACAATACTGTTCTGTATCTTCACTATGAGGCCTGAAGTGAATTCTGCCTCTGAATTCTGCCTGTTTATTTTACGTGTCTGAGTGTTTTTGCTTGCATACAAACATGCACATGGTCCCTGCAGAGGCCAGAAGAGGATTCGGGATCCCCAGCAACTGGAGTCAGACATCTGTGAGGCTCAGTGTGGGTACTGGGAAGTGAACTCAGGTCCTCTGGAAGAACGGTCAGTGCTCTTAACTGCTGAGCCACCTCTCCAAAGGCTGAATTCTGAACTTTTGATAGAATTGGAATTTTAAATCAAAGCATGGATTATTATAAACTTGAAATCATTCCCTGAACTGATAATTTTTGCATAAGCACAAAGTAAAGTTGAAACAGCATTGAGGAGAAGCAGTGAAGTGGGGGTCAGCTGCATCTCAAACCTGTGGGATAAGAAGTCTCCTCACAAGGCAGGAAGAAGCAGAGGCTACTACACAAAGCAACAGAAGCAAAGCTAAGCCTTGTTTTTATGTCAACTTCTGTGGTATTCACCTTGATTCTTCCATTTCTAGCAAATGCAGACAGGCTTCATGAACTTATGGTTTCCTCTAATAGATACAGTGTCCATTAGTGAACATCCTTTCTCCTTTCAAGCATTACTTACAGTGGATAAATGCAAACCTTTCACACTGAAGATGTCCACAGCAGCCCCAGTGGATGACTTTTCCTCCAGTTTCAGACTATCCTACACACTAGGATGACAGTCACATTCACTTGCCCCAGAGAGGACACAGGGGACAGGCTGGCAGTGCTTACGACCCTGAGGTGAACTTTACTTCTTTTTCTCCTCCAGCAACGCAGCTGAAGTCTAATGTCAACAACACTTGGACTCAATATCATTTTCTGTGAGGAGCTCCACCCCTCCTCCACCCCACCCTCCACACACAGCGACACAGAAAAGCCGCCAAGCTCAGCATATTAAAGTTTTATTAAAAAATCCACTTTTGTAGTGTAGGCACACCTGTAGAAGAAAAAAAAATATTTTTTTTGGCTTTTACAGTATTTAGACTGAACAAAAACAGTCCCAAAGGTCCCTTCTTTGTTGCCATGATAAAATTTAATTTAGTGCTCACGAATGCATTTACCATCACCCCTTCCTGTTACAAGCTTCTACATGAAGGGTAGCCAGTTGGATTGTCTCAAAGTTCAAATGCCAATTCCTCTGGTAGATAAGCACGTACCAACAGGACAAAAGTTACTGTGGCTAATAACAGAAAAGAAGTCAAGGGGGACAAAACTTCTCTGGGAGAGGCAGTCATCTGCCCTGTCTCATCAAATCCCCACACCTTCCTCCACCGTGTCCAGCCAACCAGCCCCCGCCGGCCTCTGACCCACTTACTCTATGGACTCTGAGCCTTCATCTTCTATGCTCTCATCTGCTTCTCTGGTTCTTGAAAACATGGAGAAATTTTGCCCAGTTCTTTCTCAGCAATGAAGGAACTGACTACACAGGGCATTTTCTTTGGAATTTACTTTTACTTAAGAAGTACTGACCCAAGACACAGAAGCCAAATTCAGGATTTAAAAGAAAGTTCATTTTGTACAATAGCCTTTACCAGAAAAAATGTAGTATTGATATATACATGCATTATGTGTGTGTGTGTGTGTGTGTGTGTGTGTGTGTGTATATAAAACCAAGAAAAGAAGCATCCAGCATCTCTTTCATGGTTTCACTGAGAGTTCCTCAGTTCCTACTCCTTAGGGACCACCCACATTTTTGTTGCTGTCTGTCTCCTCAAGACTTTCTAGGAATTGTTACCTGTTCCTCTTTGCAATTTTGGTGTCTAGCTCAGAAAGTGGGAACCAATCCTCTTAAGAAAGCCCGCTAGGAAGATTTAGGCCAACTAGGGGCCGTGTAACTATCAGTGTCTTAAAAATATAAGAAATCTGCGGGAGGCTTCTACTAAAGTAGACAAAGCCTTTAGATTGTGAATAAAACAAACCCAGGAGAACTGAATGGAGAGGCATACCTCAGCACTCAAGAATAAGGTTGGACTGTGTTCCAAGTTTCCCCTTAAGCTCACCTATCTCAGACTTGATGATAAGGAAGCAACATGGACATGCCAGAATATGGGAGGGAAGAACATGGCCTGATCTCCCCATCCATCCAAAGGACCAGAAAAGAGCAAAGTGGGACACAAACAAAATCTATTCTGCTCCAATGAAACACCGGCAAAGGCGTGGAGAACCAAGACTTTTACCTTGGGCAAGCTGTAAAGCAGTGCCCAGCTCCCCAGCTCCCCAGCTCCTCCGTCATGGCACAGAAAGCTAGGTGGAAATTGAGAACTCCATCCCCATCTAGTGGTAATGAAGTTTTCTCCAGGCTGCCAGCATTACTGAAGATCAGACAGGAGTAGTAAGCGGTGCTCTTCACATCCGGCCTTGGAGGCATCAACAAGGAACTACCAGCTCAAGTCCCACCCTGCTGACCCACTCTCATCCCAGTGTCAATGAAAGTCAAGTGGGGTATGTCACCTCCGAGACACAGCCTGTAATAGGGAGGCAGAGCTCCCTATCATCCCTATCGGGATGACCCCAGAGAAGATTTACACAAGATTCAGAGTCTTAAAACCCAATACCTAAAGTATCCAGGTTTTAACTAAAAACCACTCACCAGAAGCAGAAAAATATGTTAAGGAAAAAAAAAACACTATCTTTAGATGCAAACACTGACACAAGGGATCCTGGGATTATCCAGTGAGGACTGTACAACAGCCATCATAAGAATGCTTCAATGAGCAATTGCAAACGCACATGAAACAAACAAGAAAGTTGATACTCAATGGAAGTAATAAAAATTCTCAGCAAATGGAGGATATAAAAAAATAAATGACATTTTAGAAGTAAAACAATAGCTTATGCATAAAACCAGTGGGAAGGCTCAACAGCAGAATGGACAAGATAAAATGCAAAATAAAAACAAACAGAACACTAGAATGACAGATAATACTAAACCTGAACATGGAAAGAACAGACTGAAAAATACACACACTGGAGACTATGGGCTAAAATAAAACAACACTTTCTAAGTTATTAAGTAAATTTTTCTTGCAAGTTTTATTATTCGAACATCTTTATGGATAACACAGAAAATTATTATCCCATGAAGGATGTATGAAAATCTTTGGTAGACTAATAGTATATCAAAAATGGACCCAGGAAACTTGAAATTTAACATGGCCTTTGGAGGTTCACAGGTTGGAACAAGGGCACACTCAATGCAGAAGAGAAGCTGCCATCATTTGGTCATTTGTCATATGCACAGTGAAGATGTTAAATGATGGGTGACAACGCATTCTTTTCCGATCTACACAGCTTCAAACTGAAGAGCTAAGCCTGGCAAAGCCCTTCTCCCACTGGCAGGTTCCATTTGCAGAGAAAACGCTCTTCTCAATGAAAAAAGAAAAGTCATTCTGCAAGTGCCAATGAGTTCTCTGGGGTTTCACCCAAATAAAGCCCAATTTTAATGACCCGAGAGAACCATTTTCAGGACTGTTTTTCAGTCTTAGTTTATTTGTAGTGAAGAGCGTAATGGGGTGTGTGTGTGTGTGTGTGTGTGTGTGTGTGTGTGTGTGTGTGTATGTGTGTATATGTGTATGTGTGTAAAAATGTAGAAAACAAGTTTTATAATAGCTAGCTGTATTCACATTAAAAATTTTCCATCAAAGTCCAACTTGTGAGCCACTAAATCTGAAGAGATCCAGTCTCAATTTATTTCAAATGCACAAGACTGATGATTTGACTTTTGGAGGAGGAGACAGAAAAGAGATAGAAATGGGACCTCATGAGAAAATTTAATGAAAACTGAAACTCCAAGTAAAAATTAGTCCAGAACCACTTTCTATTTTCTACCATAGTCCTTTACTTAGTTTTATCACCCATCATTCAACATCAGGTCTGCAGACCATGTTCGCTGCCTCTTCTCCCTTAAGAAAGACCCAAGAGCTCTTCTGGGTGTGAAGTGTTCTAATAACGCATCTAATTCTTACACAGGAAATCTGCAGGACACAGGACAGGAGGGCCTGCCAATGCGCTGAGTCGCCCCGCAGCCCAGAGACATTGGCATCACACAGGATTCCCAGTTTTAATTCCATTTGAAAGTTCCCGAACAATGCAAAAGTGTAGAAGACTGTATAAAATATAAGATTCTCTCAAAAAGATTTATGGTGCTTTTTTTTTTTTTAATAAAAATAAATCAGTCTTCTTGGCTATAGATTGGCAAATATGTTTTCAATCTTAGCAGGTCTGACACTGACTCCTGTCGCTCCTGGTAGAAGCTGAGGCCAGTGATGAGCTCGACGTCTGTGACCCTCGCTCTGTGCAACGCCAGCAACTCTTCAATCCATGAAGATTCCCTCTTCCCGTGCTGGGAGGATGGAAGAGGAAGAAAAGTCAGCAGAGTCAGTCCGCTCTCTTGTAAGGTCCCCCTCCTCCTAGTTTATTTACTTAGGACGTTGCAGGGTATGAAGTGACAGGACCCATTTCAGGCACAGGCCACACTTTTAAGTAGCATATTTTTCCAATACATACAACAAGCATGTCTGCTGAATTAGATGTCTCAAATTTGAGGGAAAGAAAGCAAACTGAGGACAGGTGGTTACACATTGCACAGGTGCAAAAATAATTGTTTTTGGAAGGTTAAAAACTACCAGAAAATGGGAATTGTATAGTATGATAGAAAAGAAAAGGGAAAAAAATGGATTCAAGTTCCGACTGTATGAATGTCCTATTGGAAAACCACTTAACAAGTGTATTTGCACTCCTTTATCATACTGTTCTAGGAGGGTTATCTCTCTCTCTCTATCTATTTTAATTGAGATTTATTTTTAAATGTTATAAGAATGGGTATTTTGCCATTCTTATAACAAGGATAGACAAGTTGTCAGATCTCCTGGAACTGGACTTACAGATGATTGCCAGCAGCCATGTATATGCTAAGAATCCAGCTCAGGAGCCCTAGGAAAACAGCTAGTGCTCTTAACCACTGAGCCATTTCTCCTGCCCCTGTGCTGGGGTGACTTTAAAGATCAAGAGTAAAGATGTGAGCAACTCTATTACATAAACTATAGTTACTGTAAGAATGTGTTATCTTTATGGCCACATGGAAATGGGGCTGGAGAATACATAAAAGGTGATCTCATTTCTGAAGAGAGGAAAGACTTAGATAGTATGAGATCAGAAAAGAGCCAAAGGCAGACATTCTGTACAGTGGAAGTAAAAATCAGAGTTAAATCACATAACATGGATAGAAGTGATACATTCATATGCCACGAGCATTTCTGAAAATGGTCATGGGAAAGGCCATATATCAGAAAGGCCAATGGGGCCAGTGGCTGGCTCAGTAGGTAAAGTCCCTTGCTGCCAAACCTGGCTGCATGAGTTTAATCCCCAGGGCAAACTTTGGAAAAGGAAAGAACCAATTCCTAAAAGTTGTTCTCTGAGACCCATGTGGCATTTACACACACACATTATAAAAAAAAAAAAAATGTAATTGTTTTAAAAGCCCCATTCTTGGGACCTTGTTAGTTGAAAATGATATCAGACTTTTCCTACACAGAGCAGAGCAGCCACTTCCCATTTCCCACCAAGCTTCTATTTCGTACAGCCTGATGCTCCGTTCACGCCTGGCCACAACCCTTATGCTGGCCTTGGGGGGAGCAGCTGAGTCGACAAACTCCGCATCAGTAGGTAGTTTCCATTTGTTTTAACATTCATGGGAGTGAGAAAAAAAAGTGCACAGAGACCATGTTTCTTCTACTGCAACTAATCTTTGATCACTCCTTCAGAGGCAAAGCAGAGGATCAGTAACTATGTGTGAGTTTCCTTAAACAGCCCTCTTTCTGGCTCATTCCAACATTTAGCATCTTCTGAGCATGCTGCCATTAAAGAACTGAATACAACGTTTCCATCAATGAAGGAGGGCATTCCTTTGGGAACGGCAGAGTAGAAGAGGGGTGCCATGCTTGACTTACACCACTCAACATCATTTTGATAAAGAGTAAGTTTAGGGCTGCCTTTTTTTATTTTGGCAGGTTAGTGCAGAATTCAAACGTGAAATCTCAAAAGTAGGAACCATTTTCAGTTCACGTGGGCCAAAGCCATGTGCTAAGCATGGCAGGCGTAAGAGAGGAACGGGCCTGCTCCCTTACGGCGCCACTGACTCACAGCACAGTGTCCGACCGCTGAACCTCCTGTTACAGGAGACCCTTACTCACTGCAGTCACTGTGCTGACTGCTTCAGCTGTCTGCTCCAGAACGTACTTAATAGTTAGTCTTTATTACATCATTCCTGTGGGCTTTTAAGACATACTGGGCAACTGATGTATTTAATCACAATGTAATCTCTCGGGGAAAAGAAGTGATGAAGAACATAAACAATTGTTCAAAAAGATTTTCATAATAAAGTTACATGTAGAAACTTATTTAAAATGCTGCCTTACAACTTTAACACTAATCTATTACAGTGGAGTTAGAATACAAAAAAATTCCTACAAAAAATCAATCTAGACTTTAGCAACTAATCCATACAAGAAGTTTCTGACCTGGTTTTTAATGTTTTTAAAGACAAGGTGGTCTTCTACAAAGATGTGTCATTTTCAAAGATCAATTTAAGGGCCATAGAGATGGACCCTGAGTGGGCAAAGGCATTTTTCAGTAAGCCTGGCAGCCTGAGTTCAATCCTTGCATCCCACATGGTGGAAAAATAGAATCAACTCCTCACACACATCCTGGGCCTCCAGCTGCTCGATGACCCAAGGCGTGTGTGCCCACAGATTCCCTCTCTCCCTTTCCCAATAACTAATATAACTAATACAATAATGCTATAGTGAAATACAAGGACTACATGTGACACCATCATGTGATTCTAAAGCCTACGTACACTTAGGAGTCCTGTTTCTTCCAGAGTGTGAGGAAAGGGAAGGCACACACGCTTTACAGGTGAGCGTGTGAGGGAGGTGAGGAAGCCACTCACCGGGCAGCTCTCGATGTTGTCAGGCCTGTGAGGCAGTATGAAGGCTGAAGACTCTAATTCTGTGCAATCCAGGGGAATCTGAGATGGGTTTTTGCAGCTAGTGAGCACAATGAAGAAGTGAGTCGGAATCAGGATTTCCTGACTGCGGATGACTCTTCTGTTTCTGTAAAAATATTCGATAGGCACACTTTCATTAAAAAATATCTATCTTTTAATAAGCACTTCAGTAGGACCTGCTTTTAATGAAAATATATCTAAAATTCAAATTCAGTTAGGTAAGCATGTTATAAAAAATTGAGCGGCCACGATGCCTCAATATTCCAACAAATTGATGCTAATAATTAGAATATTCAGTTAACTCTTTTATATTGAAATTTGAGTTTTTCCATTTCTACCTAAAGAGTATTCAAACTACATATAAAGATAGATATTGTCTGAATATTTATATGTAGTATATGAATCATATATATATATATGTGTATATTTGAATACTTACAACCAATATAATAATTCTATATTAGTATTGATGGTCCTTTGCCTGCCACACATAGAGAACGGACCAAAGTCTCTGCTTCCAGGCCCTTTAGGGAGGACATAGAGAACATGTGGACTCTTTGCCTGAATTTCCATTTTTATCCCTACACTTTTACTGGAAAACAAAAACCACAAATTAACCACGGCCTATCGTTAAGGCTACGTCCTCTGTTTTTAAACCTGTGCTTATTTGTCAGAGGGTTTTCAAAATTTAAGGTAGTGGCATCACTATTTTCCAAATATGACCCTGTGTAGAGTCGTAACATACAAAATGGACTGAAAACAAGTTCTGGCTAAAGCTGTGAGTGGGAAGCCTGGAAGGTTCCTTCTACACTCTCTACAACATGGCTCACAGCCCAGCTATTTAAAAAAAAAAAAAATAGACATAGCCAAACTGTCTGGGTGTGCTGGCACTCAGCTTTAATTCTAGCACTAGGGTAAGTCTCTGTGACTTCAAGGCCAGCCTGGTCTACATGGTGAGTTCCAGGACAGCTAGGACTACATAGAGAAGTCCCATCTCAAACAAACAATCAAACAAAAACCCAAAATAGTAAACACGGCTAATAACTATATATTTCACAAACTGACAAGCTCCCAGATGTTTTGTTGTCAGAGTTCTCTGTTAGGGTCAAAATCTCAGTAGAGTCTTCGTACCTGTCTTGTGGTTGCAGGAGCAAATTTTCTTTAGAAAATGCTGTTAATATGGCTTTAATACAGATCAACCTGGGTGAGGTACCATAGCTCAGTGGTGGATGCTGGGCTCCCTTGTGTAAAACCCTGGGTTTGAACCCTGCCCCTCACCTCCTTCCCACAGAAAAATGGAAACCATCAACCAGTTTCTAAAACATCCCCCGTTTCATCTTATAAAACCAAATCTATTGCTGGCTTCCTCAAGATGGTGGGTCCTTCCCGTCCATCAGCACTATGATGTTAACTCAAGGCCATCAGACTTAAGGCACCGCATTTTCATGTCCCTTCTCATTCCTCCCCTCTGGACTTCTGTCCCCATACCCTAGCCTTTCAAGTCTCAAAAGGACTGCCTGCATCCTCTTCCTCTGTGGCCTAGAAAGGGGGCCCCAGGGGGAGGTGATCAAAGAGCTGGCAACCATGTTCATGTCAGAGCCCCTGCTCCCCTTACTCGGGTACCCACATGGAGAGTGAGCTGTCTATGGGCTACATCTGAGCAGGAGGGTCTAGCTACTTTTAAGAGTATAAAATATGTTCTTACTGTTTCACAGTCTCTAAGGAATCGTAACGACCATCATAATCAAAGTCAAACACGGGACCACTGACAACATTGATGCCATTCCTTTCTTTGGCATACTTCTGCAATAGGGTATCATGAAAGTACTCCCATATAACTGAAAGAAAAGATGTTGCAGTATTAAAAGAGTATCATGTGAGATCAGCTAATGAACAAAGCAAAGTTAGTCCTTATAATAGCTAAAGACTAGGTCAAGTTGGCTTTAGTCTTAGGCCCAAGCCCCAGACCCATGATTCACTTTTGGCTTCCAGGTGGACTAAAGGGCAAATACTGGAGTCAACTCTGTTTCTGTATTTGGAAATGTGCACCTTATTTACTCTAGAGTAATGATCATGTTCACCATGAAGTACCAAAGCAATACCACAAACAATGATTCAGACTCACTATTCATACCTGAATTTGTCCTCTGAAAATAGACATGTATTATAGACAACAAATCAAAGAAAATGTCATTATATGTAGTATATTTTGATATTCTGTATTATAAGTTTACATAGGAATGCCCATTTATTCTTATAGGAATCAGACACTGAAATGGCTAAGGATGCTATGAGCTCTACTCATTTTAAAAATAATTATCCAAACTTACTTATATAAGCAACCAAATGAAAGTTGATATATTAGTTTACTGGATTCACTAGGTAGCTTTTGAGGAAATACCATATACTTTCTTTGCCAAAGATATTCATAACATTTAAATTTAAAGAAAAGAGATACTAGAATATATCTTTCAGTGTTTATATAATTTTTTTGAGTTCCAATACTGGAAGAATGTACTTGATAAGTACACATTTAACCAAAACCATAAACTCTGTTACCAACTAAATCTACATATATTGAAGCCATCATTAAAGGTTTTTACCTTGGAAGCTCTGATACATTGGCACTATATTAGATGTAAGCAATGCTTCAGAATATATTTTAGTTGAAATTTTATTTAGTCCTGTAATGGAAAAAAAAAAAAAAAGAGGATTGTTTCATACAGCAAAAGTAACAATTAGCTGAGTGTCACCTGAAGCCTGTAAAACTTGCCCAGGTTCTAGGAGAAGGAAAACAATATATTTGCCCAAGTTCCTTAGAAAAATAAAAATTTAAACTCATTTCTTTGTGCTGCTCATTTAACAAAGTAGCACCAATTTTAATAAGAAAGCCCTGAACTGTACATTTTCAAACTTTTACCTACTTTGTTTTATTTCAGCTGAAAGAGTGCTCTGTTTATAACCTTCTTAAACTTTTTTTTTTTTTTTAACAGTTAAAGGAAGAAAGTTCAGAAGTTCTGGCTTCACCATGGCAGCTACCACCCAGAGAAAACAACCCAGCAGCCTGTTCCGGCATGCCAGCCACACAAGGCTTCTTTGTGTAAAGTGAGCTAGCTTTTACACTCCAATGGCCAAGGTTTGTCTGCAGATAGTTGCTGGGGGCCGGACTGGAGGCTGAGGGCTGGGACACCCCAGGCCTCCTGATTTTTGCCTTGTAAGGCTGGCCTTTAAAAGGCTTCTCATTGGCATACAGACCTAGCACCTTAGAAATGAAGCCACCCCTTCAAAAGGCTGTTCTGGAAGCTCTGCAGCAACGCACAAGCAAGCCTTTACCTACTTCCCTCATCAGTCACCTTCATGGGAACCGAGCTGCTTCCTAAGAACTGGACTCAGTCTTTCACTCCCACCGAGTTTTCAGGGAAAGGCTGGAAAAAGGCGGTCTCCTACCCAAAGTATTTGCACCAGGTCAATAACTCCCCAAACACACAACACACAAAAAGTCACACACTCAAGCCTTACACCAATGTGATGTCTCCCCAATTACGTAAGATTTTCACTAATAAATGAAACAGGCTCCACACAACGTCACGGAATTCACCAAAGATATCCCTCACTAATTTATTTTATTACTTCCATTACTGCTCTTAATAATTTGATGCTGACGCTTGGCCCAGGGACTCCCACAAGGCTAGGTAAGTTCTCTAGCAAGGAGTTACACCCGAAGACCCATGAGAGACTCGCATGTGTGCAAAGAGAGACGCTGAGGAATGGGCAAGCTGCGGGGCAGAAGTGGGAAGCTACTTACTGGGTGGAGCGAGGAACCCAAAGCTTAGCTTAGAACTGCTTTTATGAAAGGAACATTTGTGGAAGAGGCTAAGAGGAATCCGCAGGTCCTGGTATAAACAGTTGGAGAAGTCCTCTTTGGAGAAATGGTCCTGAAGAATAGATGGTGACAAGTCAGCAGGTGGCCCACGGGGAGCAGAGAAGGAAGCTAAGGAATTAAAGCTGCACGGTGGCCCAAGTGTGGAGTCGCAACCCTCTCTAGCTTCCCATTTCCCTATGGATGTTTTCTAACTAAAACACAAATGCTCTCTACAATGGGAATACTATTGATCTCTTCATGTGCAAATATCTTCTGCTGTGATGGCTTTATTTTTTGTTCAGATGGTTTTAAACACTGTATGAGCTAACATGTCAGTTTCTAGAAAGTCTACTGCGCCTTCCATTGCAAAAGACACAGGCAAAAGTTGCTGAGAGAGAGAGAGCAAGAGGAAAGCCACCAAGGACCCTCAGAGGTAAGACCCACAGGGGTTGCGACAAAAGTGACCATACAGAGCTTTGCTTGGATAAGAAAACCAAAATCAAACAGAGTCAATGACCCTCTGAAATTACAGTAGTAGGCAGCAATAAATGAATAAATGACAGCGTGCTCCAAACACGGCGAATACGACACACTACGAAGGGCAGAAACTGACTGAAAGTGACCTTCAAATTTTTTTTAAATGCTCAAAGAAATTTTGCATAGGTGTGAAGATCTATAAAAAAACAACAACAACAAAAACAAAACAAACAAACAAACAAAATGATCGCATCCCTATCTCTTTATTTAGGAGCCACAGAGAGGATCAGCACTAGGTTTCCTAAGTTTAGGTGCTTTTCTCAGTGGAGCCCTCTTCAGTCCCTTACTGTCTTTATATCCACTCTCCTTCCTTCCATCTAAGCACCCCAGGGCTGGAGCTGGAGTGAGGGAGGGTGGAAATGTGCTGCAATTTGTGTGCATGCTCTCTTCAAGGCCCTGCTGCTCTGTTGTTGGTGAGAGCAGAGAAGAAGCAAATGCCTGGACTTTCTAGGCTGGGGTCCTCAGGCAGACAGGAGGCAGTGATGGGACTGGCCTCTAATGGTCTCCTTAAATTTGGCCAGTTGGGGACAAGCCATGCGCTCAGGTGGCCATTCATTTAGAGAAGATTAATTGTGACTGACTGCCAACCTGATTTCCTAAGATTACAAATCAGAGTCACATGTTATTAAAAATAGGGTTGTACCCTGGTGTGATGGCACATGCCTTTAAGCCTAGCACTTGGGTGGCAGAAGTAGGCAGATCTCCGAGTTTGAGAACAGCCTGATCTACAGAGTGAATTACAGAACAGCCAGGGCTACATAAAGAAACCCTGTCTTAAAAAACCAAAACCAAACAAAACATAGAAAGAAGCATGGGGGTTGGGAGATTCAAAGAAGGAAAAAGGGCATGTGTTACTGAGTTTATTCTGAGTCACCCAGCTGCACAGATAAATAGTGGCAGACCTAAACCTGCACCCTAATTCCTGAACTCCACTCCCTTCTTCCTTCAGGAAGAGGTAACAGATGAATCCCCATAAACTGCTTCCCACATAGTTGAAGAGGTGACAGGTACTTGCATTACAGAGGAAGGTGTAAGACGTCCAGAGAGGCATGAGGAGGTCCTGGCTGTATCCATTCACAAACTGTTGCTGGTAAAGAAGGCAGATGCTGTGCTTCTTCTGCAGAATCCGGGGCCTTCCATAGGGTATACTACTGAAGACAATATCTCCTACTTGGGTCATAAAGGGGGAAGGAAACCATGCTTTACATTATTTGGTGCTACACCATGGAAAACCCATCTAACCCTCTCCTGTTTTAAGCATTGTTGGCATGATGTTCTTGTGGACTGTGTACAGTTCACCCTTGTTCATTCACATGCTGATTTCTCTACCCCACTATCTGGTTTTAATCCAGATATTGCATTGTGAAGCTTATCCTAAGTATCTCCTGTCTCAAGTGTGTGAAAACATGCCCACCATTTATTCTCTGTTTCGCCAATAAAACGCCAACCAGCCAATGCTGAACAATACAGAGCATACGGTGAGATGTCCAGGTCCAGTGAAGGGAGGAGAAAGAGAGGAAGAGGGAAATGGAGCCATGAGGAGAGGACCAAGAAGTATCAGGAGGAATGGACCAGAGATGGGAGATGATTACAAAGACTAGGAAGTCTGAATGGGAGAAACGAGGCCAGCTTGGAAGTTTAGGATGGAGTAATTATTGCTCAGGATTGTGCTCTAGGTTAATTAAGAAATCGTACTCTCCATGTGTCACTTGGTTAAATAGCTGGTTAAAGAGTAACTGCCGTATTATTAATAACACGAAATACAAAGCGTACGTAGAAATTAGCTCTTCACCATAAATACATCACACGTACCATAGAGTACAGAAACACACACAAATGTGAAACCCTGAAACTTTGCCTTTTTTTTTTTTTACTGGGATATCAATGTTCTATAAAAGTATCACAAGAGGATACTAGCTTGAATTACTAAGGTATCTTGTTAACGAGGACTTACACTACTAAATAAATAAATAAATAAATAAATAAATCTTTTTGCAACAAAGTCTTAGGTAGCCCAGGTTGGTCTCAAAGTCAGTGTGTAGTCAAGGTTGACCTTGAGCATCTGATCCCCCTTCTTCTGATTTCTGAGTCCTGGCATTACAGGGGCATGACACCATACCTAATTCTTAGTGGTGCTGGCTGACTGAGCCCAGGACTTCACGCATGCTGGCAAGCAATCAACCCATTGAACTACATCACAAGGCCCCTGAAGTTCTTTCACATTATTTTAATCGCCCTTAATTAAGTGATTAGTAAGTGAAGAAAACATGTGGATATTTAGAAGAAAAACACCAAGAAGAACTAACTGAAATGAAACGGTAGACAGTAGCCTAATGGCCTTTTTCTAAGGGTCGGGTGCATTGAAGAACTGTTTTCATTCTGTTGCCTACATCTTCTTAAGAGTAAGGACATACACCTGTTTCACAGATGGGGAATCAGAAGTTTGCAGGGAATAAATGCTTTCCCCATCCTGTTGCTCCAGAGCCCATGAACTCAGCTCCAGCGTGATCTTAAGGTGTCAGCCTTTAACACATATTGGACCACCTTGGGAATGAAAGAATTCCCCAATTCCAACAGTTTACAAGAGCTATCCCACAAAGACCACCTCAAGAAGGATTAATGCAGCATTCACCACTTTGCCCCAGCCAGGAGAAAGTATCAACAAAATCATTTGAAGAGAAGAGATGGCAGCAAAGTGACTCTGACCGCCCAGGTCACAGTTAGGAAATGCTGCATCTGTCGCCTACAAAGCCATCACCTTCACTAAAAGTTGTGGGGTATGAGAGAAGAACAAATTTTAAAAATTAATTAACTTAAAAGTTATGAGGAAGTAACGTTAGAGAGATAAATCAACCTATAACTCCTTACAATTAATTAACAACTAAGGAGACCGAAATTTACTAGGTATCTCAAGTGGAAATCTAAGATGTCTTAAAAACCTATAAAACGTTTGAAAATTTCGAGACACTTTTAACATGGTTTTCACAAAACAGGGTGTACACCTTTTCACTGTAAAATGACATTTCCTGTCTTATGACTAACAGGCTAGAATATCTGGCAGAGAAGATTCTATGCCCCATCAAATGGCTCCCTGTTTCCTTATTTCATTGGTTCTTTGGAAAAAACTCCCTGAACAATTCTCCAAATCTTAAATAAAGCAGGACCTGTTTCTACATTTTGGATCTGAGTAGAACAAGCCTTACCATTTTCCACGGTCTGATTAAAATATTCCTCAAAGTTCGCGATTGGCTCAATCTACAAGAAGTTTATAAAATAAATTTTAAGGATTAAGAAGACATGCTTTAATTACATACTATATCCTTTCTGTAGCTTAACTAATCCAAGAAGAAACAAAAAAAAAGAAAATTTAGCAAGTATTTTGTAAGTGAGAGGTTTCTTTCCTTCAACAAGGAGGGGTAAAAGAGGAGCAGCAACAGGTGCAGAATGACAAAATCACTTCCAGCAATTGAAACTGTAAATCTGTTTTACAACTCTGCTCACTACGCCAAGTCGAAATCAAAAGAGAAAGCATAAAAATATATAAGCTCTAACTACCGACTTTATAAACGTTGTGCATTTGGTTCATAGATTGGTGGGTACTTTTACAACTAAGACATGATAGCCACACCGTGTTTAGGAGACTTACGGCTAATGGAAATGAACCCATGTGTTAAATCCATTTGAATGAAGAATATCCCCCCCCAAGTCTGCAGTAGGCTGTGGTTTATATTAAAGAAGGAACAGTCAGTAAGATGGGTTTACTCCGCTCAAGGAATTCTTTAGAATTCACCCTACCTACCCCCAAGGGGTCACGACACCCAGAGATAAAAACAGCTCAAAATGCAGAAGCTACATTGGGGAAATGGCTAATAAATGGTCTTCATGTGTTCTCAAGAGTTAAAAGCAAATGTACAGATGCTTAATAAACATATTACATCCAACTTGGACATTTTAATTTCATCTTAGCTGTTTCCATAGCACATTCTGTATACACACGCACAAAGAGAGAGACGTGCATGCACACACGCAATGTTAAGCTGCTAAGGTCTGCAGCCTACCTACCCAGGGATCACATGTGCAGCTGAGGTTATCGGCTACTGATTTGATTGGACAATGGGACACAGAGCTCTCTTCTTTGGGATGACTTGGGGTATAAACGGGTTTCTTCAGAAGGTGGTTGAGACTGCCATGACTTCCATTATTAGGAGCTGGGATCAAACCCAACAAATCTGCGTAGTTCCAAGAATAGTAAAGAGTTAGTCGGAAGTTTCAAGACCAAACAAATCAATTTGTACCATGAGTTTCATTTTACTGCTTTAAATCCGATGTATTTGATTCTTTTTCTGTTTAACTAGAATGAAGATAGAATATACTTGACGTTGAAGTATAGCCATCTGTGGTTCTTTGAGCCATACACAATTTTCTAAATTATTCTTTAAAAATTGTGTGTGTGCGTGTACATGCGTGTAAAGGTGCCTGTAGAGGCCTGAAGAGGGTGATGGACCCCTGCAGCTCCAGTTAGATATTGTTGTAAGCTGTTCTATACAGCGAGTTCCAGGACAGCCAGGACTATATAACAAAATCTTGTCTCAACAAACAAGCAAAAAAAACTATTTTAATCATATGTATGTGTGGCTCTATGTAAGTATGCACACACGAGTGCTGTGACAACAGACGGCGAAGGCGTCCTATCCCACAAGAGCTAGAGCTAGAGGCAGCTGTAAGCCACCCAACATGGATGCTGGGATCCAAATTCAGGTCTTCTGTATGAGTAGTAATGAATCCTAGCCTCTGATCCATCCCTCTGGCCAGAATTTGTTGTTCTTAACACAAAGAGGAACATATATGCTGCACTTTCCCACAAAACCTTCTAACTTTGAGTGGATAATAAATACAGTTAGCCTGTGTTGAAGGAAGGTCCACACAAATAGCTGTGTTGGTATTCTTTAATTTAGTTTAGTTCTCAGCATAACTGAGTAAATTATCACCAATATTTGGTAGGTAAGTGCTCAATGGGTTTTACCTAAGTTATCACATGGTGGGTTTAGAATTCAAATACAGCCGTGTTTGAATCTAAGACTCATGAACGCATAACAACAGATATTTGCATCATAAAGCACTTACTTTATATAAGATATTGCTGTAAATGAGTGATAAACTCAAGTTTATGAGCTCTCTTGAGAAGAAACACATGACATAGCTAAGGTTTTGAAGATGACCATCAAGAAAAAAAAAAAAATCTGGGCCTGGAGAGCTGGCTTAGCTGTTAAGAGCACTTTACAGTTTCTCCAGAGAACCCAAGCTCAGTCTCCAGTGCCCAAATCAGGTAACCCACAACCACTGGCTCTGCGAGATGGGATGCCTTCTGGTGGCCTCCGTGGGCACACACCCACACACACATACACACACACACACACACACACACACACACACACACACACACGGCATACATTCACATATGCACATATACAGAAACACAAACAAAAAAAATAAGCAATAAATCCCTTATTCAGAAAAGGAATAACACTTAAAATGCAAAATTCCACCGTAAGTCAACACTCATCCCGAGTCCCCCTTCATTTCTCTTGGCTTTGCCATCTGTTCAGCTAGCGTTGATGTCAGAGCCACCTGTGTTATCCACACAGTGTATCACTGCCCCAGACTCTTCTCAGAGGTCCCCGTCACTGCTGAGTCAAATGTCGTAACATTGAGCCCGAGTCTCTGAGTGTCGGACTTTGATCATGTACGGTATAAATGACAGCCTCCCAGGGGCCTCCGTCAGGAGAAAGGACACGGAAACATAGGCTCTCTGTGTGCCCTCCTGCGCCTATCTTCAGTGGACGGGATATGTGGGTGCTGCTCACACTTACCACACATTAAGTTATAGACTTCAATATTCTCAAAGGAGTCAACTTCAGTGCCGTGCTTGAAGGCAGGTCCATAGCCAATAAAGAGAGCCTGGATTTGCCAGAAAGGTAGAAGATTACCCGTTTAATTCAGTTATGCATGTAGCTGGTCAAAATGCTATAATGTCTGCATTGCACACATCTATGTTCACACAAGTATGTTTATAGTTGCCATGTAAGATAAAAGGGAAGCACCACGCTCAGGGGCTGACTAGGGTACTGTTTTAATTGTCACTGTCTATACAACTTAAAGATATCTAGACTATTTCTTTTACTATCATTTTTGGCTTGATGATCCGAACAGAATGATGAAATGGGACAAACCCTTTACACTGCTCACCTCACAAAGTGCTATGGAGAGAAAATTCAGTCATTACCACAACTGTATTCAGAAAAAGAATTAAAGTGCCAAGCAAATGCCAGGTGCCACCTCCTTTCAGGTCAGAAACATAATAACCTTGCATCAATCAAATCACTGACTTTTACTGTGAGCCAAAATGGTTCAGAGAACACAGATACATTCAAAATGACTATTAACTTAGGAAGGCGGCCAATAAATCACATATCTACAGAAACACAAATACAAACTACTCGCAAACTCTTTAATTCTTCCCAAAGAACAACACTCAATAACTCTCGTTCACTACACATCCAGTTTGTTTTTTAAGACTCAGATTTTATTTATCTAGCTTTCTTCAGATTAATCCTATCAATAAAGTACCAAAGGTTTACTCACTTGCATATTTGAAAACAGGTTGTCAGAGCCATGAAATCCACTTCCACAATATTTCCTTTCTGATGGATTCCTAAATTTTGACATATGTAAATTAGTAATATAATTCTAGTCACTGGACAAAACCACACCATTTCCTTCCTAAAGAACAAGTGGCTACTGTTAAATCAACATAAACTAAATAAAACCACCTCACTCTGAAACTCCTGATTTTTATCCTTTATACTCTTTTGCTTGGAACTCATGTGTTCATAAAACAAAAGGCAGAGGTGACCAAGCCTTAGCATGGTGACAGAGGGTCTTGAACCGCTGGCTGTGCTGTGACGACACAGCTACGACTACAAAGAATTCATTGTCACTCCACTCGGTTTCAACATTTCTTGCATTTGTAAAACCCCAAGAACAATGCAGCTTTTAATGATGCTCAAATGCAGTATTTTGCTCTTGTTGAAGGTACTGGGGATTGAACCCAGGGCCTTGGATGTGCTAGGCAAGTGATTTACCACTGAGCTATATGCTCAGCCCTCATATATAGTATTTAGAAAGTCACCAAACCTCCCACTATAAATCTTCTGGACGAAATGCCCAGCTCTCCGATAGAGAGGGAATGGTGTGACTGTATTGACTGACCTGTGTTTTGCTGTTCAGGAATTTTTTGACAGGGACATTTGTCACAATCAATGGTTTTGTAGGTGACTACCAGAATATTTAATGGTCAATCTTTGAGAAAAGGGCATTATTAACCATGAAAATATTTTGGTGAGTACCCCAACAAGCTGACATTTCCCGATGGGTTGGTATAAGAAAATGGAGATGAGCAGCCGTGTAGCATAAAGACGCTTGCTGTGAAGTGCTTTCACAAATGCCGATCTTGGAAGGATAGAGAAGAGACGCAGTGGGGGGGTAACAAACACACTAATAAAGATTATTAGAAACAATCGACACAGATGTGAGGGCCAGAGCCACGGTTCTTAGTCAGAACTGACCCCTTCTCCCCGGGAGATTTTCACTAGTGTCTGGAAGCATTACAGTGTCATAAGTAGAGAAAGAATGTTAAAACCAAGTGCAGAGTCCTGTCAATTTTCAAAAAATTTGCTGAGCAGCTCACAACGAAAAGAATTATCCAATTCAAGATGTTTAGAGGTTACAGCGAAGTTACAGCGAAGAACATCTCACATGCAATGTTAGACAGGGGCCAGTCTTCCCCTTGAGTGGAGATGACATCAGGCTGAGTGTGCCCAGGATGGGTTCATAACTTACAATGCAAGTTGCCACTGAGGGTCCAAATAGAACGTCAGTGGCTCGATCCTTTCGCTTTTAGCAAAGTGTAAGCGCTTGGGTAAGAAGTGTTTCAGGTAAGGCCTGAAGTGCTGGTTTGGTTCCCGGCACTGATGTGGAAAAAGACAACAAAACAAAGCAAAACCATTACTCTCATATCACCTGGAGTATAAATAGTCCTTGAAAATCCCTTAAACTCAGATAGACTTTACTCACAGACATTTTACCAGCCTCTCTGGAAGACAGAGGTGCAGGTAGGAAACTGATGGTTCTTGCTAGTCACAGAATGTGAACGGTAGCTGCAATTTTTGCTGGGTATTATAATGACTACTGAACAAAGGTCTTAGGACTCTTAGCGTGTCACTAGGTCACAGTGGGGTTACAACTGATGTATTTATTTCACTTGCCTCATTAAATGCAACCATACAAAATTCTTCAATTCTCTAAAGTGTATCACATATGAAATATAATATATGTAAAACTCAGCATTAGGACAAAGATTGTATTTTTAAAATAATAAATAATAATTAGTATAAACCAAAAAAAAAAAAAGATTAAGGACATGCAGCTCACTGGGATACTATGACCTGTCATGTATATTAGCAAAAACAGCAACAATTAAATAAATGAAATATTAAGATACTCACGGAAAGATTTTTTGCCACGCTTTCATAATTAACTAAAGGAACAAACAAAAGAGTTAATAGCTAATGATAGGCTACAATGAAACATACAAATAAGATAAGGTATAAAGTCTTACATTGTTACACTCACTCACTAATAAAATACCAAAGCATATTTTTATTCTTTTTTTGAGCAAACATGATCTCGTGTCAACAGGTCAGCCTCAAACTCACTATGTAGCTGAGGATGTCTGTGAACTTCTAATCCTCCCGTCTGCAACTCTGGGACTACAGGCAACATTCCACCATGCCCAATTTGTGTGGTACTTGCAATCAAACCCAGGGTTGCATGCAAACTCAGCAAGCTCTCTCCCAGTGGAGCTGTGTCACCAGCCCCAAAGCTGATTTCAAACAGCTTGCTCATCACATCACTGCATGGACATTGACAAGAACAGACACGTCCTTAGCTTCCGCTCTGTCATGATGGTCGAGAAACAGTGTCACACTGTTATGCTACCTGTCTACCCCTCTATCTGTGGTCCATACACTTGGCCATTCATCTATCTGACTCTTCATCTGCTTGTCCATCCATCCAAGCACTGATCTATCCAAACCTCCATCTGTGTACCAGCCCGCACAGACCTAGCATAACTTCACTGTATAATAATAAAAACATGCTTTGACACATTACAAAAAGTACTCAGGAAGATATATTCCAAACTTAACAAGCTGTCTCTAAAGAGAAGAAATGAGTTATGATGAAGAGAAGGAAATGGCTTCTTTTCTTTGCTTATGTCAGAATTAAGTTAAAAGTCTAGAACTGTCAAATGAAAGAGACAGAAATGAGAAGACAGTAGATTAGTGTAAAAGCTGGATTTATACTCCAAATTCATTAGACTTGCCTGGTGTTTTTCGTGCTGCCTATCTGTAGTTGTCTAGTTTTCTAAAATTCCCCTTGATTCTGTATTTAGTTGAATAATTTGAGAAAACTATCCACACAAAAGAATCCGTATTTCATGAACATAGACAAATTGATATGCAACTTTTGCTTTAATTTGGGAAATCTGAAGCACTAATAGGAATGAAGTTGAAGCTACAGCTCAGCCATATGCCAAACACCACTCAGGAATATCAGTCTATATGTTAATCTCAGCCACCCAAATGCCAAATGTCACCCAGGAATGTCAGTCTACGTGTCTTCCAACACGTTACTAACCAGGCACAGTCATGCCCCAGTATCCATGAGAAATGTTTCTAGGGCCTTCCCAGAGATATTGGAATCCTCAGATGTCCAAATCTTTGCACATAACTTATATAATCTTTCTGTACATTTCAACTCATCTCTGCATTACTATAATGTAAAAGGAATCTCTTGTGTAGTAAAGATACAACACCTGTCAGTTAAAAAAAAAAAACCTACGGCCTGTGTCTGAGGCAGGAAATAGGTGGTATATTCGGCAGGCAGAAAAGATTCTGGGATAGAGCCAGGTACGTGAGATTACAACTGAAAAAATGTGAGGAGGAAGGATGCATGGTAACTGAGCTCAGGTAATCAGACACGTGGCAAAATGTAAATTATTATAATGGGTTATTTTAAGTAATGAGCTAGTCAGAGAAGAGCCCAGCCTATGGTGTAGGTGTTAATTCAGTCTCTGGAAGCTTGAGGAAGAGAGGAAAGACCTCCTTGTACACTACAATGCCTAACACAATGCAAGTTGTCTGCATCTAATTATTATATTGTATCAATTAGAGACTAGTGACAAGAAAACGTCCAACAATCTCTACTGAAATTGATTTCATTGCAGAACCCAAACCTAACACAATTTTGACATGCACATTTATATTTCCATTGCAAAACTAATTATATAAAACAGATAAATAAAACCAAAGATGGAAATCAAAAGGGGGCAGTTATGAAGTGAGCTTGATCTGCAGAATAATATATATTTTTAATTATGTCTTGGTGGTTTGGTGTTCCAATGTGGTCAGGAGAAAAGATAAAATTACTTGTCTTTTTCTATGCAAAAGATGTGTGTGATTGCTTTGGGAAATTGTTTAAGGAAATCATTTCTTAGTCAAGAAATTGATTGTGTACAGAATGAATAATTTCTGCTGAGTTGCTCTTCATAATATAATATTATTCTAAAATGTGAGTTATATTAATAGGATGTCATTAATTATTTAACCTTTAAAAATGTACTCAAATTTTTCTCACTAACAGTGTATGAACCTTAATAAGCAAACCAAACCATAAATTTTAATATGAAATAACATTAAGATCACCAAGTTTTCTTTAGTCCAGAAAAGGACATTGGGAAGTGGTTAAACTATTGTCACTCCGATGAAACTCACTTAAGTACAGAAAGGCTGCATGGAGATTCAGTCATGCTTTCCTATGGCTGACATAGATCGATGCAGAGGAATGCATTTTTTCTAGTGATAGCTGCAGTTAGCAAACAGCCTCACTCACATGAATAGTACTTCTCTGGAACGTCGGAAGGTCTCAGTCGAGCAGCAGGTCCATAGACAACTTTGACATTGTTCACATCCCCCAAATACTTATTCAGGTACACATACTTCTTACAACTGCCCTGTTCCATGCCTGGGAGGAGTAAATCGCAGAACGTGACTAAAGAAAGTAAAACACAAAGCTTGATTTCTTTCACTTCCAGAATCAGTTCTTGCTCCTTTCTTATTCTTTTGTTGAGACCGGGTGTCTGGAGTTAGCCTCGGAACTCACTGCGTAGAGCAGGCTAGCCTCAATCTCACGGAGATCTACCTGCCTCAGGCAATTGACACTTCCAGAATTTAATGATTATCTACACACATAGAATTTAGGACTCATAATAGTTGAACTCATAATAGTTGACATTTTGTGTCTTAATAGATGCAGACCTTAATAGATGCAGAAAAACATTTTCACTGTTTTTCTCTTTTTAAAATTGTGTGTATGTGTGTGTGCCAACAGGATTTTGTGTGTGTGTGTGTGTGTGTGTGTGTGTGTGTGTGTGTCTGTGTGTGTGGACTTCATGCACAAATTTGGCATTTAATTGTGTGTTCCTTCTTACTGATGTGTTTTATCACCATGTGAGTAAAACAGGATATGTTTCCACAGTTGAAGAAGGTGGTTTACCCCAAATCAGGTCACACTGAACTGGAATGTAAGCAGCAGATCCCTTAAGTATGATCTTAGGACCGTTTCCTAAGACAGCTCTCTCCAACTATTTCTGAAGCAAAAACGAGTGACATTAACAAAAGGGAACTGATAGAGCCTATTTTCTACCTTCTTGTATGGATGGTACTTTGTAGTCCTAAGGCTGTATACAATCATGTATCACAAACTGCATTTGGGGGCCCGTGAGATAGCTCAGTTGGAAAAGGCACTTCTACAAATCTAACAGCCTTAACTCTCTCCCCAGCACCCATGGCGGAAGGACTGACTGATTCCCACATTTGTCCTCTGATCTCCACAAGCATACCGTGGTGCAAGTGTGTGCACACAAGTGATTAATTAAATTAAAACTGTTAATGAACTGTACTGTGAGAAATCAAAATAAAAGCAATCTGTACCACCTCCAAAGTCAGACTGATGCTGCTAAAACAAACTGAAGAGATGTATAAGAATGTGTCCCAATTAAAGCTAAATTGTATTTACCCAAATTTGACACTGGAGATTATTTTTAGCACTTTAAATTCTGGTGTAGAATTTTTCAAATCAGAAATTAGGTTATGACTGGTATGTTCATAAGTTTAATCTTATGCTTTACTTATATTTTATATTTAATGTATTTCCCTAAAAACTGTCCATAATAAACCACATTTTAAAAATTTTTTCCTTTAGTATTCAGTAAAAATAATTAAACAAGAATTGATCAAGCCAACTTATTAAAAAAAAAACCCTTTAATCTACAGAGTAAATGGATAAGCTCAGATTACCATGATCTGAAATGAGGATGAGGTTCAGGCACTTGTCCAAGCTCAGGTCCTTCAGGCCATCCATCAGCATGCCAAGCATTCGGTCCACCTTCTGCAGGGCCTTGATGACCTAGACACGGAAGCAGGCCTTGTGTGATGTGCTCCACACCAATGTTATTTCTACCCTGTGTGATGCAGTCTGCACTAACACCATTTCCAAGTAATCACAGTTTACTAAAAAGAATGGAGGGAAGGAAGAAGGGAGGGAAGGAGAGAGGAGCTATTGAGGCATTGATAAACTATGATAAATACAAATTACACCAATACAGATCAAGATCATAAAACATCTGCCAATCATTAAGAATCGGATGATCCAGATTCTATATCTACTAAACCATAGAGTCTGGGGTACCATTAGCTAGTCCCTCCCTGAGATGCAAATATCCAGGTCAGACTAGACTCAATTAAACCAAAATAATGCTCTCTCAAGTCCACGGTGTCTCGGCAGAAACCAATGCATTCTTAACTAGCATTTTTCTTTTCACTATCAATTTCTTCTTGAACTTTGAATCATTTAAATGGTCACTGTATGAGCGCGATGTTTCCTGATTTTCAAAGGGGTTAAAGTTAATCCTTAAATGCTTCATATAGTTCCATGTACTTAAAAACAACTTACAAGTCTCAGGAATTGAACCTTTATTTCCTTACTAAATGAATATATTTTATACATTGATAGTCCAAGGCTACAGAAGGGCTAAAAGTTTGGACAAACTACTTTCTGGCATTTTCTTTTCCCCATGCCTTATAAAGCCACCCAAAGAAAGTCTTGCCTGTATTTTCTGTACTATATCTTCCCTTAATAACTTGTAACCCCTCACTTTGATATGAGACATGCTCCTTCAATATGGTCCTCCACTCACTGGAAGATAGCCAAACAACATGGATTTTAAATTTTAAATATTAAAGTGGTTTTGAGGTGCCAGCAATGCTAAGAGAGTTGGATAGAGTTTCTAAGTTGACGAGTATAGTCTGGAAAGTAGTGAGCACCATCGAGAACAAGGACACATCAGAGAAACAGGAAAATTAGCAAAGCATAAAGTGTTGCACAATCTTAGTTATATGACCTAACAAAAAGACTTTTGGCCATTCTGACCTTGTCATGGGCCTTCCATACCAGAGAAATAATACAAATTTATAACTAAAATAATGAAAACACACCATGTGCCTGGGTCAGTTATTCAAACCACAGCAATAAGCCTGAGAAGGGCTCCTCTGGACCTACTGTGAGAGGGCCAAGCTCTGGTCACACTTTTTTATTACCCCGCCCCTAGCAAGAAACATGTCTGCTTTATGTCAACAGAGTTAAAGCAGGGTACAACGAGGCTGCTAACTGCCATGGAGCTGCTGGATGGAAAGAATACAAAGGACAGACACAAACCTGGCTGAGGACCAGTTCCCCTCTCTTTTGCCTGATATGAAAGCAACACAAAATGGCATATGGGTTCTTTCCAAGCATTCAAGTCCATGCCAGACACAGGGACAGAAAGACAAGGGAAGATAGTCTATTCAGAGGACTAAGTTCAAGTGTGTTGGGGAATGATGCCTATTCCCTATTGCTACATTTAGCAGTCCTTTTGCATTTAGACCAAGCAGCATAGACAGGGGTACCTGAAAGAGAGTTTACAGTAGATGTGATAGACCAGGCCTCTATCTGAATGAGTGATAAAGAATCCTAAAGACTCACAAACTACCCAACCTAGGTCAGCTGGGCAGGGGGCCAGCATGAATGTGGGGTGAGGGTTTATCTACTAAGGAAGAGTATGAGTTTGTAGTCTGCCTTTTAGAATCACAGGAGGAGAAAGATGATTTGACCCGACGATACCTCTTCTTCTTCTCATTATGTCCAACAGGATTCCCAAGTCCTTAGTTTCTATTTCTAGTCACATCGTAAGTCATAGAAAACAAGTCAGCATCAGAAGAAACCAGACCATGGGCGGGCAGAGGAAGGAGGTCTGGTCACCTTGAGTGCTGATGATTCCTTTCCATGAAAATGGCACAGTGCTGTCACCTCTGGAAAGCTCTGAGTGCCGGTCTAAACTACAGTGAATGTGGCCAGGCACCGGCTGTTTCTAAAACATGGCTGGCCAAACAAGATACATTATGTATGATCTTTACTGCCCAGGTTACTGGTTCTCGTCTCTGTTGTCACAGTGACTAACATAAATAATTATCATTTGCCCCATTCTTCACTTTTGATAGTGTCTTCCATCCTTTCAAGTCCCAGCTCTGTTACAAGCATGGCTCTCAGGCAGGAGAGTATCTCCTAAAGAGAGGCTGTTTCTGCTCTGCAGCTCACTACCTGACACTTCCATAAAAATTTGGAGTCTTAGAGGCTTAAAGACTTCTCATAAAGCACTCAGGTTTGAAGGCAAAGAGAGAGAATAATGAGGATATGGAGAGAAAATAAAAGATTTAATTGAAGATACACAAGATAACTTAATAGTTCAATTTACCCCTGTGAAAATGTAAGCAAAACCAGGCCTCCCAGCTCTTGTTCTGTTTAAATTGCTCTCTCTGCTCAAGTAGAATTTTGTGTAATACTCACTCTTTCCAAAAATCATAGCGTTTTATAGAATGTTCTAGAAGAGCCCACTTCAAGAATACTAAGTTTAATGACGCGATCATAGGTAGGAATTAACTTACCTCACTGCTGACTGGTCCATGTGAATGCCCTGAAGAGTCTGGTTCTTCTAAATACAGAGTGTAAAAGTGTGGTCTAAATCAAACAGTATCAAAATGTAATATTTTACGAACACATTGAAAAACAGAATGGAAAGAATAATTCAACAGTTGATCCTGACTAAAAACTCTACAGCAATAGGGTAACCTCACTAGAATGCTGAGGAACTATTTACAGGCTTGGGATTCTTCAAAATGAAGCCGTAATTGTTCACCAGTTCCATGGGATATAAGACGGCAGAGCAAACAACAGTTTTGTTATAGTCTGTTTGTGAGAGGCACATGACGTCTATAAGACAAAGCAGCCTTTGTACCAGAAACTGTCTACATACCTTTCAAAGCTAGGAAGCTGTAGCCACTCAAGAACGGCTAAAATCCTTTCTTCAAATGGCACTGACCTACAATTAAAAGATAAGCAAATTAAAACAAATCTGCAGTCACTTTATGTCAACTGTAAATATTTTTTTTTCCTTGCTGGAAATAATATTAAGTGAAACAAAGCAAGCAGAGGCATCTACTGCATGTGAAATTATCTGAGATTTTTTTTTTTTTTGCCATGTTGTAATTTCCAGTACTTAGGAAACAGAACAAAAGTACTGTGGTACAAGGTCAGGCTGGACCACATCATAAGACCCTGCCCCGCACATACCCACCAAAGAAGTTGTTATTTTCAAACTTAAATTTGCTTTTATAATGAAGCCCAGAATTTAATTTTGTACAAATGAATGTTGTGATTGTGCTTCAAAAAAAAAAAAGTTTCTCTACAAGGAGAGCAACAGAACCAAAATATCTGGGCACAGGGGTCTTTTCTGAGACTCCTACTCCAACCAGGGATCATTCACGGATATAACCTAGAATCCCTGCACAGATGTAGCCCATGGCAGCTCAGTATCCAAGTGGGTTCCCTAGTAATGGGAACAGGAACTATCTCTGACATGAACTCAGTGGCTGGCTCTTTGATCACCTCCCCCTGTGGAGTGGGCAGCCCTGTCAGGCCACAGAGGAAGACAATGCAGCCAGTCCTGATAAGATCTTGACAGGCTATGGTCAGATGGAAGGGGAGGAGGACCTCATCTATCAGTGGACTAAAGAAGGGGCATGGGAGGAGAAAAGGGGGGTGGGCAGGAATGAAAGGGAATGAGGGAGGGGAATACAGCTGGGATACAAAGTGAATAAATTGTAATAAATAAAAAGATTTTAAAACATGCAAAAAAAATGTTTCTTGTCTTCTTTTGAGGTATTATACGTTCGGCTAAGAACAGCCACCATCACGTGAAGAGCTGATGTCTCAGGACTCACACTCACTGGTAAGAAAAGACTCCAGTCCTCCAGGCAACTTCCTTGTAATGAAATTACCTGTGCCTCCTCTGGTCACTGGGTTTGTTGACACAGTCTGTCTGAAGCCTGGCTCACCCTCACACAGCAACAGCTGTACCCTTTTCCACCTAGGAAATCTAGCCTGTTGCTCCTAATCTGTGGGTTCACCCAGGCTAGTGGGAGGCTCAGCGGATCTCACTGACCATGTCGCTCTATGAGATGCCAACCATGGCAAGCAAAAGCAACAGGAACAGACAGTATACCCTGCCGGAACACGCGGTAGCATGAGGTGACCAAAGAAATGCCATTCTTTGCTAGCCTGGGGTTTGTGAAGAGTTTTAATGAGGTATATTGTATTGCTGTCTCATCATAAATTTCAAAAGTATAAAGAAACTACTTGGGAAGTTTTGCTAAAAAAAAAAAAAAAAAAAATCAACCAAAGAAAGTCTGCCCTAAAACAGTCGTATGATTTTGAAAGTCAGAGAAGCCATCCCAATAGGCTCTTAGACAATAAATATATTAGTTATTTAGAAATGGAAATACAGAGATACAACAATCGTCTTTTAAACGATGCTCCTACCCACATATTATTCAATGTATCCACCCTTCCCTTCTCTTGATTTCCTTCCTAGAGGTACTCTATGCTCAGAACTATTTCCACTGTGATCTCTCAGTCGATCTTCTCTCTCTCTCTCTCATTTGATTTATTTGAAACAGAGTCTGATTATGAAACTCAGGATGGCCCTGAATTCACATAAGCTGCCCTGATCCCACTCTGTCATCTAAGCGCACCTGAACCTCACAACTGTGTGGCCCCCGTGCCCTGCTACATGAAGTACAGTCTTGCACCGACAGGCCCAGTATCGCCTCATTTATTTAATCACTGCCTAAAGTGCTGAACACACTTTGTCAGGGTCTCTAAAAAAGGCTTGTCTGATTTTACTTCCTATTTACCATCCATCTAAAACTTGGTTTAAAAAGAGTTCTTATTCTAAAAACCTTTACTTCACAGTGGCATTCAAATGTTGGAACTCAGGACTCAATAAAAAGAAGAGTACAGGAGAAATACAAGTTGTTTTATGTTATAAAACCTAGGAACAGTTCATCTACACCTACCCATTATACACTTTGTAGATATCTGGTAGAATTCCGTCAATTTTCACATCTGATCCTGGCCAGAAGTATGTGCCAGACTTGACCTGCTGATACTTAGCTGTTACCCAAATCTGGGGAAGAGAATAAAGGAAAGTTAGATAATGTAACTATTAACCTCTAAGGAGACAGAGAGCAACACCAATGCAATCTTCTTCAATGATGCAATGTTTTCAAGGGCCAGCAGTTAGGCCACAAATAATTGTGTATGTGAAGTATATTATAACATATATATAATATATATATATGTTATATATATGTTATATATATAACATATAATATAACATATTATAACATCTCTACCTTCTTATCGCTGTTTCATATTATTAAAAAATTAATGTTTAAGAAGCTAAAAATACGAACTACACTTGTTCAGTCATTATACGGTGTGTACACGAATCAAATTATCACAGGATGTACCATAAACATATAAAGGTAAATAATAATTCATAACAAACTATCATGCCAAACAACTAAAGCTAAGAAAGAGAATACTCAAGCTAGAAAAAAAAAAAAACAGCTTAGTCTAACACAAATTTATCTCTAAAATAACCTGCTCTTAAACCATGCAGTCCATATGTGACGTCAGCGTTCGCCTGCATTGCAGCAGCTCAGCCAGAGGCACGGGGAGATCAAACAGGTTGCTAAAACTCCTAGGGAATGAGTTAACTTTTCTCTTATTAAAATAAGTAAGAATAATGACTTAGTAGACACAGCAAACGGCTTACCGGCTGCCCTTTGTACCACTGAGGGTTGAATTTCTCTTTACTTTTGAGCGAGAAGGAAGCATTCATTTCGGGATCATACATCTTGTTGTCAATTATGCCGTGGGATTCTGGATAGAGTCCCTAAGAAAAGATCAATCGCAGATTAGAGCTCACACTGCAAAATGAATTATTTCATTCTGCTCTGAAGTTGAATCATTCTTTTAAACAATGCTTCTCTTACAACCTCCTGTATGAACACAAAAAGCCGAAATGCCTACTCACCGTGACGATGCTGTAATGATTGGGAAACGTTTTTGTAGGGTACACAGGCCTCATGTTTTTAGTGTAGGTCCCACAGTTTTCTAGATTAAAAAAAAATACAGACACTGCTATTAGACATACTACATAAAGTAACTATCCCAGGATGCAGAGCAATGAGCCAGAATCAAAATCCAGGGCAAGTCAAAAGTAACAATTACTACAAATTTAGTATTATCAGTGAAAAATAAAAGGGATGGAACCCAGGCTGGCATTGAGTTTGGTGTACAGCAAAGGAGAAATTGAACTCTGCTCTTCCTGCCTTGCCTTGTCAGTGCTAGGATTACAGCTGTCCATCTATGTGCCCGGTTCATGCAGCACTAGAGAAGGAACCCAGGGCTTCACGCAGGCAGGCAGGGCAAGCACTCTGCCTCCTGGGCCACATCTCCAGATGTTATCTGTCTCAAAACAGTAAACGAAGTGATTAGGCCAGCTAGGCACCTAGCCTACGTTTAGCAACAGCATTAAGTTCTAGATGGACAATTTGGCGCTAACCCGATGATTGCAAGATCTTGGTACTCAGCGATCAAACAGCTAAATGATAATAAGTGAGAGGGAAAGCGGCTGCACTATCAGCTAAGTCTGCAAATGAAGACTAAGAAGGGGCAGCAGCAAAGGTGATGTTGTCCCTGGCTGTAAAGCACAATGCAGGAATCCATGATTGAGTTTATTCGCTACTTTAATTTTTTAAATTTTTTATATTAATTACAGTTTATATACTTTGTATCCCAGCTGTAACCTCCTCCCTCATTCCCTCCCAATCCCACCTCCCTCCCTCATCTCCTCCCATGCCCTTCCCCAAGTCCACTGATAGGGGAGGAGTCTCTCTGACTCTAGCCTTTCAGGTCTCATCAGGAATGGCTGCATTGTCTTCCTCTGTGATCTGGTAAGGCTGCTCCCCCCTCAGGAGGAGGTGATCAAAGGGCCAGCCACTGAGTTCATGTCAGTGACAGTCCTTGTTCCCATTACTAGGGAACCCACTTGGACACTGAGCTGACATGGGCTACATCTGTGCAGGGGTTCTAGGTTATCTCCATGCATGGTACTTGGTTGGAGTATGAGTGTCTGGGAAGACCCATGGGACAAGATTTTTTGGTGCTTTTACTCTCCTTGTGGAGCCTCTGACCCCTCAAGGTCTTTCTATCTCCCCCTTTAATAAGATTCCCTGTACTCAGCCCAAAGTTTGGCTGAGTCTCAGCATCTGTTTTGATACCCTGCTGGATAGAGTCTTTCAGAGGCCCTCTGTGGTAGGCTCCTGTCCTGTTCCCTGTTTTCTCCCTCTTCTGATGTCCATCCCATTTGCCTTTCTAAGTGAGGATTGATCATCTTACCCAGGGTCTTCTTTCTTGCTTAGCTTCTTTAGGTATACAGATTTTAATATGATTATCCTATATTATATGTCTAATATCCACTTATAAGTGAGTATATTTGTGTCTTTCTGCTTCTAGGATACCTCACTCAGGATGAACTTTTCTAGTTTCCACCATTTGCCTGCAAATTTCATGATTTCCTTGTTTTAATTGTAGTATTCCATTGTGTAAATGTACCACAATTTCTGTATCCATTCCTCCCATTCCTCCACTGAGGGACATCTGGGCTGTTTCCAGCTTCTGGCTATTACAAATAAAGCTGTTACGCACATGGTTGAGCAAATGTCCCTGTTGTATACTTGAGCATGTTTTGGATATATGCCTAGGAGTGGTATAGCTGGATCTTGAGGAAGCGCTATTCCTAATTGTCTGAGAAAGCATCAGATTGAATTCCAAAGTGGTTGTACAAGTTTATATTCCCACCAGCAGTGGAGGAGGGTTCATTCGCTACTTTCAAAGCAAAAGGCATGTTAGGAAGAGCAGAGGACTCAGCTGCCGCCCTCCTGGCTTACTTCCACATCTCACTCCTCTGCCCTGTCTACTCTGGGGAAGGAACATACAGTTGATGGTTCCAGAACCTCAAATGCATTACCTGAAAACGCTCCCTAGATCAGCATGTGCCTGCATGTGAACGGCTTTCATGAGGGCTCCAAGTCACCAGCCACAACCCCCAACACTCCGGGTCACCCAGTGATGCAGTTTAGGCTAGCTTTGATTCGGTATCATGGTTGCTCAAAGCTTCTTAACTTTGAGTTCAGGGGCCATGTCAGGTACCATGGAGACAAGTCTCCCCAGGCAGGGACAAGGGGCTGGCTACAACCTTCAAAGTCCACTGGCCCGATTTATGTCCAGTGATGATTTGCAAAGATGATCTTCCAGGCAGACGTTAAAAACTTAAAAAAATTTAGATGAACAGCATAATGATATGCATTTCCTGAGAGTAATTTTAACTTCCTGAGAGTGACTGTGTTTCAAACAACACAATATGTTTGTCTAGGAGGTGTTGTAGAATTCCAGTATAACACTACAATAACTGCTCACGTCTACTTATATGTGAGGCCTGTAGAACACTACAACCACTGCTAAGCCCTAACAGCTAACGAAGTCTGATGGTTGTCACAACCGTACCTGCTCGTCCCCCTCTCAACAATGATGTAACTAACTAACAATGAGACTTAAAGCTCTACCTTCAACACTAAGAAAAGGCTCTCCCGTTCCATCAGTAACCTGGAAAATAGTCATTCAGTGGAAGCCCCGATTAAGGTAAAGAAGTTGAGGGTGACATGGCTGTGGGTGCCTACAACCTTGGAACTTGGGAAGAGAGGGCAGGGAGATCAAGAATTCAAGGCTATCTTCAGCCACCCAGCAAGTCTCAAGCTAGCCTAGGTTATGTGAGACCTTGCCTCAAAAATTAAAAAAAAGAACAAAATTTAACAGACATTCAGTTTGACCCAAATGACGACGGAGGATAGCTGACCGCTTTAGCAGTCCGCTCTAGTAGTATATTAGTTTCCAAAATTTTCACCTTTTGGAATTCTATTTCAACATGAATATTCAGGAAGTAAATAAATATATTTCCAAAGAACCCAAAATTCTCAAAAGAGAATAAATATGAACAGCCACGGTCAAGGGTCACGATGCTAGGAAAGCTGATTAAGTTGGGAGTTTTTCAGGGCAGTTCCGAGGACCCACAATATCAACACTAGCACACTCCCGCAACTTCACCACCGCGCAGTGGAGAAGTTGGGGAAAAACAGCAAGAGGCTTCACAGTACTTTTCCAAAAAAATCCCACCTCCCTCATCCATCTCCAAAGTCATGACCCTCTGGTGCTCAGCTCTGAGGTACTCACTCAGCTTGCTAATAACAGGAAGAAGTCCTCCCCAGGTGTGTAAATATTCGGCTCTGAATCCATCCAAAGAAAATAAGAGAGTCGGAGGAGTGTCAAACCTGGTAAAGGGAAAAAGAAATCTGTGTGAAGAGGCAAAGGAAGACAGATCCAATAGACGCCCTCTCCCTGGCTCCACCCTCGTGAAGGCCTCTCACTGAAGTCAGTGTGCAATTGAGGCAGGCTGAGAAGTCAGCAAGAACACTCAAGAAAATGTCTTCCGTGCATTTACATTTGTATACATATTTTACCAAGTAATTCACATGCATGTATCATCAATAATACATACTGTTTAGAGCTACAACACAGAAGGACACATACTGTTTAGAGCTACAACACAGAAACTTCAATCACGGTTCCTGCCATTCTAAAACTTTGCTCAAATGCTACTGTCACATAATAGGATTTTCATACTTTCTAAGAAACTAAACTGGATAAATGGCCTTGGGCAAATCACATCTTTGCCATTAATTCTTTCTGAGCAAAACTCTGTCTCTCCTACAGTAGATGGTGCCTCTCTCATTAGGCATAAAACACATGCTATGGTTAGGTTTTGTTGCTCTCTGTTTAAATGCTGAGTATGAAACCAGATCTTCACTAATGCTAGGCACGTGTTCTTCCCTTCAGCTGCATCCCTGACCTTATTTAAGTTTTAAGGTCAACGTATTTTAAAGAGATAAGTATGTGGTACAGAATCTTGAGAGACACTGTGTTTATATATTTAAACGAGATGACTAGGAGTGTCCAAACAGGAGTTTACAGAGAGACACGGAAGGTGTGTGCCACAGAAAGCCAAAGGGAGTATAAAACACCACACGTATCAGGTGTACCTGGCAAAAGCGAACAGCCATAGATTCCAAAAAAACAAAAGCCATGGCTCAGAAATCGCGTTGCTTCAGCTTTCTTTGTGGATGGCTAAGCTGCTAGAAAACTGTGAACACATTTCCCACAGACAATATCTCATTATTTGAAAATCTGAGGGCAAGTATTTTCTTTATCTTTTCTTCTCAACCGTCCCATTTTAACCTCACACCCAGACTTGAAAGCACCCACATGAAAGGAGGATCTTTGCTATACAATTCTCAGTAATTCAATTTTCAGACACTTGATAACACAGCTCTCCTGGGAGTTGGTAGTTAGCTGTGTATAGTTTCAGTAACTGCACAAAATTATATCAACAAAACCTATAAAATACGTGTTAGTGGACCAGCAGGTAAATTCACTGACATAAAAATACCCAGAATAATATGCTCTGAATTATGGCAGGGGTTGTATTCTCCACTAAAGATATTTTTTTTCAAGACAGCGTTTCTCTGTGTAGCCTTGGCTATCCTAGATTCACTTTGTAGACCAGGCTGGTCTTGAACTCACAGAGATCCACCTACCTCTGCCTCCCAAGTGCTGGGATTAAAGGTATGTGCCACCACACCCGGCCATTCCACTGAAAATCTTAATTTCACTTTAAAACAATGATCAACATTTAGAAAGAAAAATTCAATGAGCTTAAATTTTTAGTGTATTTAAAAAACAGCTTAGAGGGCGGGGTCTCCTAAAACCCAAACCTCTTCTGACGAAATTATGCAGTTTAGGCTTAGCTTTTGTTGTCATTGCAACTGTTTTTTATTTTAAAGTTGTATGACAAAATAAATCATATACATGAACAAAATAAGATAAAACAAGGTTTACAGTGTTTTAAGGTCTGAAAGGCATTCCTTTAAACTGGCAAAAATGTATTTCTGCCAGGTGGTAGTGACATGAGCCTTAATCCCAGCACTAGGGAGGCAGAGGCAGGTGGATCTCTGAAGCCTGTTCTATAGAATGAGCTCCAGGACAGCCAGGGCTACACAGAGAAACCCTGTAGCCACAACCAAAATAAATAAGTAAATAATATATCAACATGAATAGTTCAAAAAAGAACACAGATGAATTACAAACCCATTGTCACTTCCTCTCACAGATGTTCTATTTATTCCAAAAATGTATGTAATTAAGAAAAATTAAAAGAACCATAATGTGCTACAAGTTCAACAGCAAAAACTCCAAAAGAGAGCCAAGGTGCTTTCTCCCAAAGAAGGCTACAAACACCCACACAACCCACAGTCACAGAAAACAGACGCAGTTACTTGTGGTGTCTCTTTCCACTAGCTTCCAGAGCCAGGGCCATGCCACAGTCCTCCGCAGAACCAGTAGCAACTAATGTTTAATAAACCAATGACTTATTACTATTTTTATTCTTAATTTAGAAAGAAGAGGGGGGAAGGCCCTTCTAAAAAAGGGAGAAACATGTAGATCTCAGAACATGACCTTACTCGTCAGGACACTCTGGCTCATTGATGACTTCACATGCTTCTTCTACCCAGCTTTTCGTATCTGGAATGTTTTTAAGAAAACAAAGTTAGCACACTTGATAATGGCAGGAATGTCATGTTTTTCAGACGCGGCAACACAGATCCCCCAAGCAGAACAAACAGACATCATGACACAGTGACACTAGAGAAATACCATGAATATACACAGTTATTCTGCTTCAAAGTAACAGTTCACTCTAGGGAGAAAACAAAATACACAACTGCCAGGTTAAAATAAATATACTATTCATTTCCCTGTTTCCAAATATTCTGTATCCATGGATCCAAACAACTATTGATTGAAAATGTTCTTTTGAACTGCATCTGTATTGAACATTACTTTATTTCCTCAGTAATGCCATGTACACTGCTTATTTGCACAGCACTCGCATCTTGTAGGCATTGTAAGTAATTGCAGAGCATTTAAAGTATGTGTGAAGAGGTGCACAGGTTATGTGCAAACACTATGCCATCTTATGCAAGGGACGTAGTGTCGGTGGACTGGAACAGCCTCACAGTCCTTCAGCTTGTCTTCGTTAGATACAGGAACAACTATGCTGCCTTATTGCAAACTGAGATCTTTCTTTTCTAAGTCCTATTTTGGGCCAGAAATATAACCTGCCCCAGCCACTCAACACAATGGTGCTTTGGTGTCTTAGTTCCCTCACATTTGGAGTCTGGTTCTGTCGTGAGATTTCAAGAAACCTTGTGATTCCCGAACAAACCATGATAGTCCTGTCAGCAGCCTTGAAAGTACTTTCCCGTCTCCAGCCTTTCCACCCTGAATGCACCTGACCTCATCAAAGTCATTCCACACTCTGACCCTGCTCCTTTACGACAAGGAGACCCTGGTCAGGACTGGAAAAGGTTACTTACACGAGTATAGTATTAAATATGGAGGTGCTATCTAAATGACATGGGGAAGGTGGTCAGGGGGAAAAAGAATAGAAGAATGGCTGCAGGTAAAATGAAAGCCACCATGTACTGATGACAACATCATTAAGCTGGATGAGAGATCACACACCCTTACTTCATGTATACATTTGAGCCAGTCTAGAATAAAAAGTTTTACAAGTCTTTTTCAGCAAATACAACTGCTACTATACTGACAACAAATATAGCTGTTCCTAGAAAAGACAAAGCTTATGCCAAAACCCCGTAAGGCACTGGAAGATGCCAAAATCCTGGAGGGCCCAGGTAGGGGAGCCTGACCTTGGCACACAGAGCTGTAGTTGATGCAGCAGTCATTATGGGCCTTACAGTCGTCTGAACAGGAGCACACGAACCTGGACAGCCTCTTCTCCCCACACCTGAATTTGTTGCAAGTCCATATATGTGCTGCAAATCAAAGGGAAAAAGCACTTATGGTTCAAGTTCAACACATCTGTAGAATCATTCAATACCATCGTGGACATGAGGCTGAGAGACGGCGGCTTAGGTCATAACTGAGTCCTGAGATTCTGCCTCTTCTGAGGCACTCTGAGCTGACATGTGCCAAACACACAGGCACCCACCACTATCGCTTCACTGGAAACCCAGGATTTTGTTATCTTTAAACTGGAGCGCATCATCAAACACAAGAAAACACAAACACAAGGAAACATTGGCTGGTCCAATCAGCCATTTTCATGGTTCTCGAAGCTTAATCTAAAACCATGCATTGCAGGAAACAACTGTAATTACAGTACTGAAAAAGCAGAAGAAGGAGAATTCCAGTTTAAAGGCCAGTCAGGGCTATAGAACTCAAGACTCTGGTGGAAAAAAAAAAAAATTAAAAATCCAAATTTGATCCCTTACCTCAAATTTTCCTGTTTCAATAGTTTTATTTTAATATGTTCAGTGAATAGCTGAGAATTCTTTCTTTAATAGGTCCATAATGAAAATATACACATTTTAAAAATTATTCTTTAGGACTTAGTTTTTAAAAATGAAGCTACAAAAGTTTTGGCATATATTAAACACAGACACAATTTTGTTATCCATAAAGCATTTGACAAAAATGAATTACGTGAAGATTTTTCTCTAAGAAGTGTTAAGAGGGAAAGGCTACATACAGTAGAAAATGAGCACAATCTCAATTAGAAAAAAAAAAAAAACTAAGCAGGGCACAGGGAAGCCATGCCTTTGAGCACTGCACTCAAGAGGAAAAAGCAGGTAGATCTCCGTGAGCTCTATATAGCAAGTGCCAGGCCAGTTAAGGCTACATAGTGAGACCTTGTCTCGAGCAGATAGATGATGGATAGATAGATAGATAGATAGATAGATAGATAGATAGATAGATACATACATACATACATACATACATACATACATACATACATGATAGATAGATAGATAGATAGATAGATAGATAGATAGATAGATACATAGATAGATAGATAGATAGATGATAGATGGATGGATGGATGGATGGATGGATGGATGGATGGATTGATAGATGGATGGATAGATAGACAGACAGACAGATAGATGATGGATGGATGGATGGATAGATAGATAGATAGATGATGGATGGATGGATGGATGGATTGATGGATGGATAGATAGATAGACAGATAGATGATGGATAAATGGATGGATGGATGGATAGACAGATAGATAGATGATGGATGGATGGATAGATAGATAGATAGATAGATGAAAAACACTAGTTAATCACAGACTCAGAAGACGCAAGGCTTCCCTGTGATCTTTCCCTGATGCCCTTGATCCTGCCCCTCCCCCCCACCATACTTACTTGGTTCCACACAGGTCTCTTGAAAATCCAGACAGCAGTTCCCAAGGCTCACACAGGCAGCATCACAGCGACAGTTGCTGAAAGTCCTCTCAAAGCAGCGGCCTTTGCAACTTTTCACTGAAAATTGTAAGCAAGTTAGGTGCCGCCAACCACAAACTTACAAAGCACACACCAGCTGGGCACACCTGAGTCCCTGAGTCAAGACGTGCCGCTGTGGAGCGTGACTCGCACCTGCTGCTTAGAGCCAGGCAATTCCACAAACAACAATGTCTAGGGTGAGGAGAACCAACCTTCCTAGAACTGCCTGAGGAAGAGAGGACGGTATCACAGGGACAGCTGCTATTTTACACGCAGCTGGCATCTGTTAAAACAGAGCGCGCTAGCCCCAGCTCAGATTAAAATTGCTGTTTTGTAAAATTTCTTTGATGTGAGGTGAAATCACTCATTTGGTGAACATCTGCATAGCTAACACGACAGCCCAAGGTTTCACTTGTTTTATGCTTGAGCATATTTGCTCTAGGGTTTCCTAACCGTACAGGTAAAACTGGCATATTTCAAACAATCACTGAACATTTTGGACATGTGATACTATGGTAGCAGGATAATTGAACAGGACAAAAAATGTACTCAGAATGACCACTAAAATTGTCTGTGGTTCCCTTTCTTTATCTATCAGGTAATTTTCCAGTGCTGTACAGATCCTGTTCTGCATAGCAGGAAAACACAGTGAAAAGTGTGATGATTTCATTACTACTTTGAAACTAGCAATAGCAGAACAGTCTAAAACCCTCTGAGATCCCAGTAACGTAGGGATGCTAATTGGTCTCCTGGTGACCTCCAGAGTTGCTTTAGCAACCAACTCCTTGGGGCTTGGAGCACAGCACCCCAGCCAGTCCTTGGAAAGCTAGAGAGAGGGTCATGGGGCAGCACACAGGAACCTCTGGCCATGTCTTCATGGGTTGTGGGGGGAGGAGGGCGGGTACTGTTTTTGGTCACAGACCCTACTCCACATTTTAATATTAAAATTTACAAGCAAAAAAAAAAAAACTTATCTTATTTGGCAAAAATAAGATAAGATTTCAGGAAGAATGTTTAAACCAGCATCAAATTTATCAAATTCCTAATCTCTGTGGAGTACAGACAGGACTTGGAAATTACAGTTATCTCAAGCATGATGTAATGCTGAATACACACACACACATATGTATGTATATGCTTAAGCATAAACATATGCACACACAGAGACACATAGAAGCACACAAGCACACGTACCCACTTATATGTACAGCATACAGACACACAATAGCCACAGTATTAATTACCTTCTTTGGCACAGCTTGGCTTCAGTCCAAATATACAGCCAAGAATCGTTGTGAGCACACATACTGACAAAACCTGTAAGGAGAGAAAGAGACTGTTACCTTCTTCTAAAGTCCTCCTATGTCCCCATAACATCACCCCCTTCAGCGCTTCCAACTTTACTGGTGCAGATGTTTCCAGATGTAGCAGCTCATCACAGGGACGGGTTCACTTCTTGACCATTTCAAATCATATGTTTGTGATTTAGGTCCTGAGAATGTGATACAGGTTGACGGTAACCTTATTTAAATGTCAGAAAATTTCTAGATCATCCAAAGTTAACATAATAAGGAAAACACTTGGCTAACACAAAGGATTTAGCCAGAAAAAAAAAAATCATAATCCATAAGAAAGGGAAATCTACTAAGAGACTCACCTACCTACTGCCATCTAGGAACATTCTAGGTCCCTTAAGCCTTGAACTCAAACCTAAACATAACACAGCATCCCCAGATGCACCAGGCAGTCATGGGGATGGCCGCTGAAAAGAAGGTGACCAGATCGTGGGCCTCGACGCTGCCGTGATCTGGCAGTCTGAGCAGAGGGGTGGCTGATGATGCTGAGCATCTGTTTATTCATCTATAAAACTAGAGGGCTGGATGACAGCAGTCTCTCAGAGTCCTGCCGCTGCTCCTACTTTCACACTGTGTCCCTCTGCATGATTCTTGCCCTTAACATTTCAAAGTAAGTATGCGGAGCTTGGAGCCACGATGGCCAATACAACTTTTCAGAGTCCGAAGACAAAGGAGGAAAATAATCCACAAAACAATCTGCTCCCCCGCCCCCAACTTTTGCAGGTTGGCATTTCTTTCAAAGCATCCTGGAATGTCAGCTTAAAGGGCACATCAGCATTCACTGAGAAAGGGCCATTCACAAAAGTGCTATGTACCAAAGGGAAGAATAAGAGATACCTCCAGGAGTGTGGGAGGGTGGACGAGAAGAAAAAGACAAATATGCCTAGGTATAAACTCTGTAGTCTCCCTTTATCTATGCGTCCATTTTCCAATTTAATTATCTACACTCAACCATCATCAGAAAGTATTAAAAGGGAAATCGCAGAAGTAACAATTCATAATTTTTAAATTGTACGCTGTTCTGAGTAGCCATAGAATGTGTCACTGTGCTGTCCCACCCTAGTCATCCATCATCTTTGTATGTGTGTGTGCTGTATATGCTGCCAGTATTTTATGGGTATGCATGGGCGTTCAGATCCCCTGACACAGTACCATAGTGCTTGCACTCAAGGAACCCTTGGTAGCAGCCTGACATTTCCCAGCACTTCCACTATTCACTTCAGTGCATCTCGTCACTGAAAAACGATGAGATGAGTATGGCACAGTTAGATATTTTGAGAAAGAGCACATTCCCATAACTTTTATGACATTACATTGTCATGACTGTTTTGTTATTGTTTTGATATTATTTTATCAGTTTTAATATAAATGTGTGTCTACTTTTAAAGTTACACTTTATTAGCTGGATGGATAGAGAGAAAAATATATTAGATAGATAGATAGATAGATAGATAGATAGATAGATAGATAGATAGATAGATGATACATAGATATAAATAAAAATACAGCTATAGACAATATAAAGAGCCCAGTACTGCCCTCAGTTTCAAGTATCCACTGAGAATCTTGTATACGCTTTGTATATATGGCATTTCCATAAAAATGGGACTTGTCAGATGAAGATATGAATGGTAAGGACTTAAGGACAAATGAACAGAATAAAGTATCAGAAAGGGGGACTAATTGAATTCTTGGAACTGCTGATGATGACAGACACACATGATGCTACAGAAAAGCAACTAGCATGTGTCTGCTCAAAACATTGAAATCTCATTTACTGTGAACTACCCGTGTAGCGTAGAGAAGCTAGTCAAACTGATCCACGTCTCACACACTGTAATTTCAAACACTAAGACAACAGAGAACTAACGTTTGTTTGGTAGACTCTATCTAGGTCAGTCCACACAGCACCTGTGCACTTATTTCCATCTCGTCCTACCACACAATTTCCGATATGAAAGACCGATCTTTCCTGTGCTTTGTAGAGTCATTCTCCTTTCTAAGTTCAGGTGTCCATCCTCCTTAGTGAGCTTACTGTGACTTCCCCTGGGGCTGTCCCTTCTTATTGCCACAGCCGTCCTCCATACACATGGCCATGAGCAGCCTTCATTGGTTCATCCGGCTTCCTGTCCTCGTCCACTACACTGTGGTAATCTCAACAGTCCCACAGTACGCCACATCTTCCAAAACTCCGGTTAGAGTTTGCTCGAATTTCAATTCCAGCAGTATCTCTTTTCTGTTCATTTATGCACTCCATTCCCTTATCAGTCAACTGCTTTTTCAACTATCCACTGTTATAAAATGTCACAAAGGCAGACCCTGGTTGGCGAGGTAGCAGTACCTGTCTCTGCCTGTGCAGTAACTGACTGATGGGTGCCTAGTGACCAATCACTGGTGGACTCTGAAATACAGGACAGGCCTGGCTACTGATGATGTGCCTGTTACTTACACAATAATCTGTCCACTGCTGGGCTAGCAACAAAAGTTTGTATCTCATGAAATTACTCCCAGTTAATATACCTAAAATTGGAACCATGTTATTGGGAAGCCAGTGTTACTTCATTCAACAGTGGCAAGTGAAATTGAACATAGAGGAAAACAGCAGTGTTAATACACGGTTACAAGCAAGCAACAATTATCTAAGCATGGTTACTTCAAAATTGTTTGTACTCAACAAACAAAACAACAACAGAACAAAGAAACTAGTTCAAGTGTTCGTTGTTGTTGTTTGTTTGTTTGTTTGTTTGTTTTTATCTACTATAGAAAGATCTCCAGGAGTTAGCCTTGGAGATGGATGTGGCAGAACACTGAGAAAATAAACAGAAGCAAAACACCCACACATACTCAAGAGCCTGGGTGATAGGAAGACAGAAACTGTTCAATTCTTGGTCAAGCGCAGAGTACCATTGGGAATGAGGAGTTCATAGCAGGGTTCTGGTGTAAAGAAAGGGACACAGCCAGTCTTGATAAGATCTGATAGGCTAGGGTCAGACAGATGGGGAGGAGGACCTCCCTTGTTAGTGGACTAGGGGAGGGCATGGAGGAGAAGAGGGAGGGAGAGAGGGTGGGACTGGGAGGAGAAGATGGGAGGCGGCTGCAGCCAGGATACAAAGTGAATAAATTGTAATAAATAATAAATTTTTTAAAGACTAAAAAAATAAAAGAAAGAGATACAAACGACACCATGAGAAAGGCTGGCAGTGAACGAATCAGGGACAAACAGGAAAAGACCCTCCCACTCCGGCAGCCCAGTTTGACCTGTCCAGATTACAATGAACCTAAATGTCATGAAAGTCTAGGACTGGAGTGGGAAACTCGTTGAAAACTTGGCACAGCCTGGGAACTGCAAAGGGAAAATGAACAAAGCAGAAACACAGGCTTGGGAGTCAAAGTGTGGGTGGAATGGCTGAATAGGATCAAGCACATGTGGGTATTGGTGTGGGAGAAATGGAAGGAAACAAACAGGGTAGAAAGAGTTGACTGTAAGCAAACTTTTGAACTGTGCCATTGGTTTAAGCATGTACACGTGGCTGCCTGTCCTCTAGTCAGCTAGCAGAAGGCACACACTTCTGTTTTTGTAGTTAGCTCTTCACTGTCACACAGTAAGTTCCTTGTATTTAGATTTTATCACATAATGTGTAACACAATACTAAAACATACGCACACATAACAAAATAAACATTCTTCACGTATACTTATATGACAGTATCTGTCACTGTTATAAATCACCTAGCTGAATCCATTTTAGTGGGAAAATTCCCAGGAACATTTCCAGAACTGTGAAGTCTGAGTCAGTTTTTCTTCTCAAAGTAGCTTAATCCGATGTCCAAGTCCACCAGGCATTTATTTTCATGTGTTTCTTATGTGTATGAATGTATCACCTGCATGTATGCATATGTACCGCATGCATGCCCGATGCCCACAGAGACCAGATGACACCAGATCCCTGGAGTTAAAAATGGTTGTAAGGCACCACGTGGGTCGTGAGAACTGAAGCCAGGTCCACCACTCCAGCCCCTCATGAAAGCCATATTATTTACCTGTGAAACAATTCAAACTATTTTATGCTGTTGAAAACAAAATGATTTTTGGCTATATGTTGTTTATTATTAGCCCTATAATTATTACAGTTGTATTATTTAACCCACTATTACAGTTAATAAGACACATAAATAAAACCTGTTACATTTTAGAATTTTCTTATTTACCTTGGGCTGAGCAGATATTTCACCTACACTGTCTCAACAACCTCACCATCCCCCTCCCAGCCCCCATCCAGTGCCATCCTCCTTAACCATCTTCATCTGGGCTACCTTCCATCCATAATCTTATAAATGCTTGCTTATATTCTTTATCTGGCCCTTTCCACACCATTATTGGAGTCCTTTCTCCCAGCCCACATGGTTCCTTCTCCATGCTAACGCATCATGGCATCCTCCTTTCTCCTCTCTCCTGTCCTTCCAGTCTTTCCCATGATTCTCCTGAAGCCAAAGCATGGGAGCCTTAGCCACATCTGCCCCATTTTTCCCAGGTTTGAGGCCTTTTAGTCAACCAGTCAGGAACAATGTCTTAGGCAGGTTTACACAAGAACAGGTGTATCCAGGCAGGAACTAGATCTTTTGGGCCAATAATTACCATCAAAATACAAGCATCAGACGCACTCCCAACAGTTTTACATTCTGACATTTTCTTAATGTTAAAGGATATTCATTATTTAGTTTCCTGCCTCTTCAGTCTGGGCTCTTCACTGAATCGTTAGTTTTTTCTTTGACATTAAGTGAGACAAGAAACAGACATTTTCACAAGCCTCATTTTTCTCACAGATTCCTTCAAACACGCTAGCATTAATTTTGTATTATATTTATCTTTTAGTGTGTGTGTGTGTGTGTGTGTGTGTGTGTACACACACACACGAGGGTCGGTTCTCAGCTTCCAGAAATAGGTCCTGAGGATCAAACTGAG